AAAAAAAAAAAAAGGCAATTAAAATTTTCCTTTGTATTTACTAAAATTATAATTTGTTCAGCAGTAATAATTATACTTCTGAAAACGTTTTTTTTTTTCTTTTTTTGTCATTTTTTTGGTATAAGCGCTGAATTGGTGAATGTTTATTTGAAACTTTTTTTTTTTTCGTTGTTGTTGTTGCAGTAATACAGCATTTTTAATCTGAATTGCATATTTAATTCTGTTCTTTTTTTCTTTCCATTTTTTTTTGCCACCATCATTATTAGTCTGAATATGTTTGTATTTTATCGACAACGCAAATAATTGTAAGATCGGCTTACTTAGTCTACTTCCTGTTTGAAATTATTAAACTGGCAACTGTTTCTACGGGACGTTTACAACAGTAGCTTTTACTGTTGTTTTATTTTACCCTTGACGAGTTACTGAGTTTAGTCTTATCCGTTAATTATAGTTTAACTAATGAAAATAACTGATGATGTTGTTTAGTTACAAAAAAAAAATTTTACCAAAAACGATATACGATATGACGACAGTGAAGAATTAAATATTCGGTTGAATAGCATCAACAAAGCTTTAAGTTTTGACCATAAATAACAGTAGCTTTGTGGCAACAGTTGGGTTACATTAAATAATTAAAACGATGCCTCAGTTTTGCGCATTTCACATGGGATGGCTACAGATCGGGGTTGCTGCTTTTAGATAGGGAAGGGACCGGGGGAGGGGGGGCCGAATGGGACCGATGAGGTAAACAATGAAATTCCCAGAAGGTTACTACTGAATGGCTTTATCGTTGTTGACGCTATTGTTGCTGTTGCTGTTGCCGTTGCCGTTGTTATTGATGCTGCTGGTTTTTGGCGATGGTACAGCTAAGGGAGACAGCACTTTTGCTGCCTACCATATTTCAATAAGCTTTGCTTGGTCTCTCGGATTGGTATGTTTTTTCACAGAAACGACAACGATTCTCATCATCCAAAAAACTTCGAAGTGCGTGCAAGAATCTGCACTGAATTTTTTTATTTCTTTTTCTTATAACACATTCTGGTGTCTCCCATTAACTGTTGCCGTCTAGCAGTTTTTTCTTAGTGCCTTATTTTTGTCTGTTGCGGAATCGCTCCATTCTTTTGCAATTTCAAAAGCCTGACAAGTTTCTTGAACGCAACTGACAATTTACCCAATGACGATTTGATATGTGTGCTTATGATTGTCACAAATGTTGGGAGCAGTTTTGTTGCTACTGTTAGCTGAAAATGTTGTTAGTTCAGGTGTGCTAAAAAAAACATTACCGAAAACAGAAAAAGGTTTCTTCCATTTCTGATAGTAGTGATTTATTGGTAATGAATTGAAGGAAGAAAAAACACCGAATTGAAATATGTATTAATGATGCTGGACTTAAGTGATTATTGTTTAACAGTTTGCTGTTTCTTATAACTAATTAATTTGCATAACCAAGACTAGTTAAGTGACGACCGATGAACGAGCGCATTAGAGGAACAATGCGATGATGATTTGCTTAGAAAAAAAAAGCCGGAGCTGTTGGCGTGATGTTGGTTTCGAATACTGGTGTGAAACTGAAATAGTATATTAAAAAAAAAAAACAGGGGGCATTAGTTGAAGAAATGCAAAAAGCATCACATTTGGTTCCCATCATCACGACTTCTGTTGCATTGCTGCTACTGCTGTTTCCAAATTAGTGTGAAGCGCTGTTGTCAAGTCAATAAAACCGTCACTACCAGTAGCAGGAGCAGCGACAACAGCGCTAAGAGTCTTTAGCAACCGTTTATAGGTGGCAAAACGACGAGGAGCATAGGAATTGCTGGTGTTTGAAGGTGGCGTGTTGCAGGGATGATCGAAGACACTGTTGCTGTTGGCGTGCAGGAATTTGAACTGCAGCAGCGTCGACCAGCAGCTACCGGAAACGGCCTCGGTGCAGGGAAATAATTTTCAAGCGGCAGAAGAAGCATGGGGAAGTAGCGTTGTCACTTCGGGTAGTTGGTAGACGACAGCTACTTTGGTGTGCGGTTAACGGTGCTTTGAGGTCATCAGGACATGTTACACCTTCAGACTTTTGCTTCATTTCAGTTTGATTGCTTTGTTGTTAATTACGCGAAAAAAAAAAAACAGTCTTGCTATTTTTCGACTGAGTTTTTGGTGCCTTCTTTTTCCTGTTTTTACACCATCGTTATTAGACGTTGATTAGCATCATTACCCAACGACGATAAGAGGAATTTTTTTGCGTTGTCAGTTGTGTCATATTCTAAGGATAACTGCTTTTTTTTCTTGAATATACCATATTTTATGGTCGTCTAGATTCTTCGTAAATTTCTTCCAACCCATTCCGGGGCTTTTGCTTTAGCGTCTTTTTGGCCATCCTCAATCGTCAAAGATTGTTGAAAGGTGGTTATTGGTAATACTTCGGAAAGTGAAAAATTACCATCTAATTTTAAAACTTATCTAGATTTCAGCCTATGATATTTGTTGGGGTAGTGTAGAAAAGCTGCGTAATAGCAGTGGTTGAAAGTATGTACCCAAGTGGTTTCATTAAGGTTGATGATTTTGCCTGGATAATGAAATAGTCTTCTACGGTCTTAGTACCTTTTAAGCGAATAATTTCGACACACTTTTGCTTTGAAAATTGTGAAAGGCATAGGAAGCAGACAGCTTAATGTACATTCAACTTAATTTTTTCTTGTTTTTAGTGATCAATTTAGCCTGAACTTATTGTAACGAGATTTGGATTATTTCTCTTCATTTCTCATTCGGTAGCATTTTGGTCATCGAAGTGGTGAAAGAATTTAACTGAAAAGGGTTTCTAGGTGATAGGAGTGGATCTTGTTACTCTTTTCCATTGTTTTTTCTGTTATGTTTATGGTTGTTACTCGTAGTTTCATTATTAGTTTTAACATTTGACATTTGCCATGGTAGTGCAACATTTGATTGATCGGCTTTTTTTAAACACCGGACCAAAAGAGTGCTGAGATTTTTATGGATGACTATAATTATGAATTTAATTATTGGAAAGGAAAAAAGGAGTTGCTTTTAACTTTTCTTTTTTGTTTCAGCTGTATAACTGTTTGTTTGTATTCAGTTTTTTGTTTTTTTTTTTTTTTTTTTTTTTTTTTTTTT